TTTCTTAAGCTAAAAACTACCAGTTTCTTCGATAAACCTTTATTTTATTTCATTTATTTACAATTTTATCTCGAAGAAAAACGATTAACTTTTGAAAAGATGTCGCGGTCTAACAAATAAAAAATGATAAATCGTTTTAATTTACATTGCTTGTCATTGCTTGTTTTGCGTTATATTCTTTATATATTACCGTTATCTGTATTAATACAAAGTTTTAAATCAATAAAGCACCCACCAAATCCATAAAATATCGACTGCCATCCCAGACTCGACGTGCACAGCGCGGCCACGATAAACGAAGTCACCCCGGCGGCCACCTGTCAATCCACACACATAGCCTCTCCCTTTCCCCCGAACTCCCGTCGCTTCCGTGGCGCAATCGGCAGCGCGTTCGGCTGTTAACCGAAAGGTCGGTGGTTCGAACCCACCCGGGAGCGAAATTTTTTGCTTTTTGCCTACTTGAACGCCGGATGTGTAGATTGCTCCTATCGTTGCTCGTTCCTCTGGTGGGAACCATTTTGAGGCCATGGCGTTGCAGCTTGGGAAAACAAAAGTCTAGAAGGTCGTTGTTTTTTAATCTTTCCAATCTACCTGTCCAACTCCGAGCATAGCTCTCGACACCCAAAAGCCAGAATATGTTCTGACAGCCATGATTGGGCCGATTAGTGTCGCTACCATACAATTAAGCACCGCGCCTAAAAAGCGGCGTTTTTATGGTATTTTTACGTTTAATTTCAAATTTTCTAGAATTACTGCATTTTTTATAGAAACAATAATGACCAAATTGGAGCTGGGCTGCAATAATTACAGCGTAACCGGTTTCACCTACCTAATAACGTAATTTTAGGGCCATAGCGATCAGCCAAATATCCGGCAAAACACATCGTGACGAGCTGACCGTAAAAAGGAGCGGAGAGTAGCATAGAAGTCATAGATGGATCCCAGAGTAAGGTACCCTAAATTACGACTTATTAAAAAGTGAGAGGATTACCCCATATCCATCCTGCTGGGCAATTTTCTCATCGTCAATCGGATGGCAAGCTGGTGGTAAGGGTTTTTCTAATTTAAGCTTTGAGGTATTTGTGTGAAGAGGAAGAAACGCTGTCGCATTGACCTGAAAGTACGGAACAATCCCGATTTCCATAAAGAATGCCGACATGCAAATCTCGCTAGCCAGTCTCCTGTAAGCTTAATTATCGATAGCCAATATACCGACACAAAAATGTCGACTACCGAAATGCCGACAGCCTCAAAGGCGTCCGACATTCCGGGCTTTTGCCTATCGGTGTTTTCATCGTCGGGATTTCGGCTTGTCGGCATTCGGATTGTCGATATTTTGGATTGTCGGCATTCCGGCTATCGGCATTTTGGGTTCCCGATGTCAAAGACATTCATACGCTTCGCTTAAGCGTAAAGAGCCACGCAAAGTATGACTTCGAAAAACATACCATACACGTAATCCCAAGGCTCAAATTCACTCGCATGCATACTGTCAAGCAAAAGGCAGCAGATAGTAAAAAAGCTATTCGAAGGCGATGCGAACTAAAAAAAATCAATATTTTTGTCGTTGTTTCCGCTCCAAAATACCTAAAAGAAAACAGCGGCTGTGCCGGGGAATCCATAATTTAGCCAAATCAGGGCTAGTCGCGCCCAAAACTGGAGCCAATTGATAAAACTGGAGCTGTCGTTTAAAGTGTGGAAGCTCAGATTTTGGGGGGCTGAGCCTATTCTTCCAGCTGTCTATCTCTGATAGACTTATCGCGCCGTAAACCGCCCAGTTTGTGCTTCTGTTTTTGGCACTTTGTGACTTTATGGTGTGGTTTTTTTTGCACGTGCAGTTGCTTATTAAATTGTTTTAGTATTTTTTGAGGTGTTCGAATTATCCCAAATCAAACAGGCAACATAAAAAGTAAAAAAAATACTGGTACTGCACTTTTTAATCAGGTTAAAAACTTTTTCTGATATTACAGATTGTATTAAACATTTAAATATAGTAGATATATGTGTATTGACTTAAAAATGTCGACTTTAACTCCAGAAGTGTATTTAGTTATGGCTAACTTTCTTAAAAGATGGTTTATTCCAAGTTCATGGTTTTTTTAGGCAAAAGTCTTCGTTTCCGGTAGACTTTTCTCACTCGGGCTCACCTTCATCCGCGCCCATTCTTGGACTTTGGCTGTAAAAATTTGATGAAAAACTTGGCAATTTTCACTCACCCTCCCCAGCATAGATGTAATGAACCCCGGAAAGCATGCACATCGAGCTAGCGCAAGTGAAGATTATCATCCACTTATGAGGCCAGCCCTGAAAAGGGAACAATTTCTCCGAAGCGATCATACAATTACCATAAATTCTATAAAAGATAGAAGCATTGGCCCAGATACGTTGGCTACTGTAGCGTAGGTCATCGAGATCGAGGTCATCGTCCCAGAATACGGGGGTGCGATCGAGATCAGAGAGGTGAAGAAGCCACAGATGGCAAACGAGAAGAAGATGCCTGAAAATTGTGGTTTAAAGGAGCTGACAAGGCAAAGCTAGGGATACTGATGACTATGTCTATTTTTCGCGCCGCCCTGAAACACCCGGGGTTACTGTGTCAGAAATCCATAGCCAAACATCTCTTCAGTTGTTCTTTAAAGCGCACGTTCAGGGAGGGGCCGTGTACTCGTCCCAACGTATACACCCTATGGACGTAGGGACCGCGCGCACGGCCTGCCCGTGCTGTGACAGGCCATTCCCCTCCCTTGCGGCGTGGGGCGCCCCTCGCCCTCTCGCGAGGTTGTAGCTGTGGCTGACTGGTATCCATCCGCGCCTCCCGAGCGGGGGGCCCGGGTTCGACCCCCGGCCGCGGCCAAAACCTTTGCTTTTTTTCCAAAAAAAACGTCCCTGAACGTGCCCTTTAAAGGCCTCTGGAAAGATGGGATTGGTCAAAAAGCAAGACGATGTGCACCGGCCGGGGGTCGAACCAGGGATGGTCCGCCCCGCAGTCCAACGCGTTACCCCCACACCAAAGGGGGTCGAGTGGGGGAGGGCGGCGGAGGGGCCCCAAGTACCCTAGGGTCCATCTCGTGCACGTCACTGGGCGACAATTTAAAATAAAGCTATTTATAGATAATGGATATGGAATTGGGCCTTTGCATGAAAATTGGACTTTCCGATAGCTCGGGTCCTGCGGACCCCTTTCCCCCACCGACCACACACGCGCGGGCAAATTGCAGGAATGAGGAAATTTGTATTTTTTCATATTATGCAAATTACCCCCAAAAAAAGAATAAAACCGGCTTTAACTTTGTAAACTTGTATTTTATCGAAATTCCGAAAACGCGATCGGAAAGAGGAGGGTCGATTCCCCCGAGTGACTAAAAATCAGCGCATTTTGGATACGGGAAGGCCCTCAAATCGGGCCTCGAAAGTGACATCCACACACACACACAGAGATACACTCCAAAATTATATAAGGTAGGATAATAACGAAAAATCCTACAGAAAAGCTTGCCACGGGCAAGGAGCGTCTTCCCTGAATTTCCTGAAGTGTTTTATGCCCTTTCCGACGATTTTTCAAGTAAAGAACGCCCCAAAAACCTCTTTTCGCTCAGAACATGGCAGCCATCGTTCCAATCAGCCTCAAATTTTTACCATCGATGGGGCTGGCTATAAACTATTTTTATGGAAGTTTCCAGCCAAAAATATAGTCAATCAAAAAAGTTATGGCTATAAACCAGTTTTCTGCAAAACCAGTTGGGGGTTTTGGGGCCCCTTACGCGATGGAAAGCGTGCATGGCATCGCCCCGTCGGTCCCTCACCCCTGGGGACGCCCGGCCATCTTTCCAACGGTCTTTAAACAGGGGCGACAGCAGTTATATCGAAGAATTTAAAAACTAGGAAAAATGGCAGCAAGATTAAGGTTTCTCTAGATTTTAGAAGCCACATATTGAAAATCTTCACAAGGCCATAATCTACCGTATGCCAACAAGATCGGCAGCGCAATAAATGGACTCTCACATGAAGGTATATATCCAAGTGCAAACAACGCCATTCCGGAGCCAAAAGCACCTAAAATACCGTCATAATAACTTTAGTTTCTATAATATGGTATAGAATAAGATCCTATCCTATAAGCGAGAAAAGTATGTTTGTTTTCTGTAATGACGATTTCTCGGCCGTCAAGCCGAATTTCGCGCTGATTTTTGGCATGGAGGCGGAGAAATGCATTTGCCAAACACGCATTTTTTTTGTTTTCCGAAATTCTTTGATTTAACAATTTTACAAGCAAAATAGTAAAAATCCTTAACAAATTGGGCGATGAGCCGTGGTGTTCGGGCGATAACTTGATTCGCATTTGGAATTTCGGGCTGAAATTTGGACCAGTTATGTATTCGATAGTGGGGATCACGCGCATCTTATTATCTTTACAAATTTTTTGCAGATTCAGACTCAAAAACTTAATTTTGTAAAGTGACCAGAAGGCTTGCCTCCCGGGGCATGGGTCGGCCTTTTCTGTGCCTCCCCGCCCCCCGCTTCCCCGGAACAGAAGAGGGCTTCCCGCCGCCGGTTCCCATCTACCCCGTGGTGTAGTGGATTTACGCCCGTCCTACCACGCCTTAAGTCGCGGGTTCGGATCCTGAGCAAATTTAACTGTTTGCTTTTTGGTAGTTTAGCAACTAACCATATTTCTAGGCTCTCGGTGTGCGAGGTTTAGGCCTGGCCCTCGCTCTAGCGTCGCAGGCCAAAGAAAAGGCCTTTGACCCAGGCTCTCGCGCCGCAGGCCCAATCCCGGAGAAAAACCAGCACTCGCGCCACAGGCCAAAGAAAAGGCCCTTGGTCCAGGCTCTCGCGCCGCAGGCCAATGATCGTCCCTTGACACAGGCTCTCGCGCAGGCAGGCCCAGCCATGCAGAAAAACCAGTAACTAGCGCCGCAGGCGCAAAGGTTTTAGCGGAACGCTGGCTCTAGCGCCGCAGGCCAAAGAATGGCGCCGTTACTCAGGTTCTTGCGCCGCAGGCTAAAAGAAGAAGGTATTCAAATTCATGATTCCTGGACGGGGTCCAGTGGAAAATGGCCGCGAAGCGGGCTTTTTCCACTGGTAATCTCATAAACGAACTTACTAACACCCTGAAAGATCTTCCCTGACACATCCGGGTCCAAGATTTTGTTCCGCTTCATATAATCCGAAACCATCCCGAGAATGAGCTTCGAAGTGATTTGAGAGGCGAATGGGACCATCGTGAAAATACCGTTCTAAAAATGGTCGCAAAGGTCAGCCTGTTAGTATCCAATTAATAGACGTACCATGTGGATCGGAATATGGAGCACTTCTTTAAAATATGTAGGTAAAAAAGCTTGCATTAACGACGCGGCAAAGTTGAACGCAAATTGACTAGTGTAGTTGGCGAGGCAGGCTTTCCCAAAGAATAGCTCTCGCCATGGGATGCTATTTTCTTTCTAAAATTTATATAAATATAAAAATTCAACTGAGGAAAGTATGATTTAATAGAAGTATCGAAATAATCCGAAGGCCTTATAAACCCACAAAAATATCCGCCTGTGCTTTCGAAGACAAGTTTTCTTCTATATAAGCGGCTTCCTCTTGAGAAAGCCACCGATTCTCCGTGGGAGAATTTGAAGAAAATATCCAGAATACAGTGGCCCAGACGAGTCCAAGAGCACCTTAGAGGCATCAGAATATTAAGAAAAATTGGCTACCAAAAATGTAATAAATTGAAGGCCAGCCCCATGGTGACGAACAAAGGCCTGCAACAATTAGAGCCGTGAAACCAGCTGCGATCTTCAAAAGGTAGGGTTTTTTGTATTGAAGATATCAAGACCTGGGTCCCGCTTGTGTAGATCGCTCCCACGGTGGATTTTTCGCTTTGTGGGAACCACTTTGCGACCATGCAGTTGATACATGGGAAGACGAAGCCCTAAACGTGTCGGTTTTGCGGTTAAAGGAAGTATTAGTAAGGCAAAAATCGATCATTATATATTTAGCTTTATTTTGAACAGATTTAAAGGTGTAATTAAACATTAAAATCATAGGAAAATTTTCATCCATACCTCTCCAACCCCAATAATCAACCTAGACCCAAAATAGGCCCAGTAGCTATTTCCAGCCAAAACAGGTCCAAGCAGCGTCATTAGCGTGTAGTCCAATGCAGCTACTAAAAGCAGAGACTTTCCTAGTGTTTCCGGATTCTAATTTCATACCAAAAAGAATTGCTTTGGGACCAAAACGATCAGCAAAATATCCGGAAATCGCAATCGTAACCAAGCTTCCGTAGAATGTTGCGGAAAATAGCAGTCCTTGCATGGATGGACTCCAGAGGAGGGTGCCCTATATACGGTTTAGAGGTGTACTCTCTACTTGTCAACTGCTAGGTATCCAGAAATTGATTGAAAAGTGGAAAAAATACAATCAGACTACCCCATAGCCACTTTCGGTTGGTGTCGACTCATCATAGGCATACAGGCATTGTCTGGTGTCTTGTCGAATTGAGTTGTTTTGGGGTGGGCTCGGCTTTTCAAAGGCCGTGGAGTTGACCTAGAAATCAAAAATTATATCTATGCTATGATTTTTACTTCCGGTTTATACTAACTTCTCCGACTTTGTATTACAAAAAAGCGGGGCTGCGGAGTTAGGATTATTTTAACGAAAAAGAGCGGTTTAGGCTGGATCAAGCGGCGTTTCTAACTTTTGGGCTTTTAATAAAGCTATTAATAAAAAAATATTCGCGCTGGCCGCTAAAACCAACCATACACGTCACGCCCATGCTCAAATTCAACCTCATCGACACCATCACGTAAAGACCAGACATCAGTAGCAGGCATATCCGCAATCGATGGGATTTTAGCGAAAATAAGGCCGGATGTGCCATCTGGATACGGCGAGGTCAGAGTGACGAAAATTCCAATGATGGACCGGAAAATAGGCCGTTTTCAAGTCGGACCTTGCATCACCGTGTTGCAGTTGAGTGGAGCGCTCACAACTTTGCATAAATCTCGTGGCAGAAAAAGCGTTTGGCCCCCAGCTGAACGTGTTGGTTTCGATGAATTCCAGATTTTTTCGCAATTTGTGTGTACTTTGGAACGTTGCTCAGTTTTCAGGCCCTTCTTTTTAACAATGAAATGCCTCTGATTCACGCGGGTTCCGGGATTTTCGTTGATTAATTTGCATTAAATGTACTTTTTGCATTTTCCATTGAACTGATAGCTTAAGGCATCTGCTTTATTCCTCTGCACCGTCATGAGATCATCGCAAAACACACATTGCCATAACAAAACATAATACCGGAAATGCTATCACCGAAAGTGAGCGAACAGGACCCTGGGGCTAATTCTAAAAAATCTTTCGTATTCTGTAAATCATTTCTCCGCTGTCGTCAGGTCAATCGAGTCTTTCGGCTGGGCCCAGGGCTGGATTTTCGCTAGAAAGATACAGTTTTTCCACCTTTTCAACCACGATTCAGTTGTTTTAAAATTAAGGCTTACCTTGACCAAAGCAGATGAAGAAACAACCGGCGCAAAATTGAATGGTAGCGCAGAGACCGAAGACGATCAGCCATTTGTTAGGGAGGTCCTGAAAAAGCAGGTTTAGAGAGAGGCGACCGAGTGAGAGAGCGAGAGAGAGCGAGATCGAGAGAGAACGAGATCGAGAGAGATAGAAAAAGATAGAGAGAGAGACAGAGTGAGAGAAAGAGAGAAATAATCTGAAAATCGTGGAAAAATACTCACCAAATAATCGATCAGCGCAATAATGTTTGGTCCAGCAAGGCTAGCCACCGTAGCGTAACCGGTAGATATCGAAGAAATGGTCCCAGAATATTGAGGAGCTACTGTCATTAACGAAGTAAAAAATCCAGGGATGGCACCAGCAAAAAACATTCCTGAATTTCAAGGGTTTTAAAACCTAGTAGTTCGGCTACCATATGCCGATAGAAGATATAGAGCCACTGCCGGGTTTTCACAAGACGGTAACCAGGCGAGGAGGAAGAGTATGACAGATACCCCGATAGACCCTGAAAAACACATAAAAATGACGATAATAATTACGATGATTCTGAGCTAGACGCTTAAAAATTATGAAATTACTTACCGCAACCCTGAAAGAACTTGACCAAGGTGTCGGAATCAACAAGCTCTCGCTTCTTCAAATAGTCCGACAGGATAGCAGCAATATTTTTTAGAGACGATTTGAGTGAAGAAGGGGGCAATGTTGTAGAGGCCGTTCTGAAAAGTATTACAGGGTGTCCCATAAAAAAGCACCCCTCCGGCATTTCGCCCTCTTACATCCGATCGGTCCCATACTTTGCACAAGGGTGTGTCTGATCTTAAATAACAACAATTCCGAGTCTATGCCCGATCGCTACAGTAGTTTTCGAGTTATCGCCAAAATACTCTTTTTTACGCGATTCTTACCAGATTTTTTGGTTATTTTTTTGGACCTTGCATCGATTTGCATCGACTTTCGGCTGCGAATCCCTAATTTCGAGGGCGACTTTCCGTTACAAAAATTGTTGAAAACAACGGTTATTTGATGAATTTTTCCCAGGAAAAAATTTCTAGGGGTAAAGAAGGCTTGCCGCTTCATTTTCACTTAACATTCGAAGGGTCGATTCCAGCTAAAACCTTATTAAAAACGGAGAATAAAGTTTATTTTTGTCGTATCTCGAAAATTACTGCAGCGATCGGACTGTAACTCAGGATTGTGGTTATTTAGGGTCAGATATACCTTTGGTCGATTTTGGGACCGATCGGATGTAAGAGGGCGAAATGTAGGAGGGATGCTTTTTTATGGGACACCCTGTATAGTGAGCTACCACGGTATTTCAGGACAGGTTTTATTTGAGGTTCAGCTACTACAACCCACTAGAAGGAAGAGAAAAACCAACCAAGTGGATCGGTAAAAATAGGTGGTCCTTGAAGTATGTCGGCAAAAATGACTGCATGATGACGGCGCACAGGCTGAAGGCGAACTGGCAAAAGTAGATGGCCTGCATGGTGCGGTTGAAGAGGAGGTGGCGGATGGGGAGGCCTTGGCGGACCTAAAAAAAAAAGGATTTTTGAGCCTAGGTATTTATCTTTTTTTATGGTTTGAAGGGACAGGTAAGCTATGGATTTTATGGAGTTAAAATCCAAATCCTAACAGTACCGAGTCTTGCCTACTTACCAACATATCCTTCTGCTTCCTGGACAACACCTCGCGCTCCAGAAACTCTTTCTCCTGCTCCCCGGTCCAGCGATTGTCTTGCGGGGAGTTTGTGACGAAGATGATCCAGAAAACGGACCACAGTAGTCCGACACCACCTAGGCATTCGAAAATCAATTTTTAGGAAAATTCAAACCGAAAAAGTAGAAAAATGAGGGCCATCCGAGGGAGGAGGCGCAGAGTTCGGCGACGAAAAATGACGTGAAACTGGACGCTAGCTAAAGGGAAGTTTTTTGGGACGGTTTTTGACGATATAACGATCTAAACGATGCCATCAGTTGAAGTAATGGGATCCCTACCTGATTACCCGTAGTGTACAACGCTCCGGCAGTAGATTTTTCGTATGATGGGAACCATTTTGAGGCCATACTATTAATGCATGGTTGGACGCATCCCTAAGATTTATTGGTATTTTTGTTTTTAAAAAAATTACCATAGTTTCTCCCTTAAAAATCAGACTTTTAAACCCACAATTCCAATACCCATCATGGCTCTAGAAGCAAAAAAGGCCGGGTATGAACGCTCTGCCAGCGTCGGGCCAATCATCGTAAACACGACGCAATCGATTACGGCAGCTAAATGGAGATTTTTAAGGTATTTTAACGGCATTGTGCAGTCGTTTAGCTTGTCACTAAAGGTGCGTGCAACCGAAAAGTCCTAAAAAACCTACCAACAAGCAACATTTTCGGCCCGTACCGATCGGCCAGATACCCGGAGAAAGCCATCGTTACGAGTCCACCGTAGAAAATAGCACCAAATAAGGCTGACTGCATTGAGGGAGACCACATCAAATATCCCTAAAAAATCTTAAGAGGCTAAGAAAGGTGCGTCTACCACATAGCCGTCCTCCTTGGCCACACTCTCGTCAACGATGGGTTTGCACACGTCGTGGGAGTGGTCGATGGACTCGTTTTTGTAGAAGTTTTTGAGTTCTTCGGGAGCGTAGGCTGTGGAATTTACCTTAAATGGAGCGTGAAAGAGAGCGAGATAGAGAGAGAGAGAGAGAGAGAGAGAGAGTGAAAGGGAGAGAGGTAGAGAGAGAAATAGGGAGAGAGAGAGTAGGATAGAGCGCAAGAGAGATATTTAAACTCCACTTACCATACACGTGATCCCCATGCTCAAGTTGACTCTCATGGAAGTCGTTGAGAAAAACGCGGCCATAAGCAGAAAACAAACGCGAAGCCTGTGAGAATGAAGTGAGAAAAGTGAGGGCCGCTTCTCCTTTTCCTTCTCCTCCTCATCTTCGTCCTTTTTTGGCATAATCTGTAAAAATATTTGAACCTTTTATGAACAAAAATAGAATGAAAATGAAACAAGTCATACTCGGCTCAGAATTAAAAAAATTCGCGAATATCCAGAAAAAAATCGAAGCCACAAGCTTTTATGTGTAAGAAAAAGTGATGCAAAGGACAAAACGACGGTTTTGAAAGCCCACATCGACTGATGAGACCACAGTTCCTTCTGCTTTTTTCCTTGATCTTTTTGAACCCCGGATAGAGCGCACAAATAAAAGCTTCTCGCCCGGGCATCAGCCTCCGCCGGTCAATCGAACAATTCCCGGGCGCATGAACAACACCTATTCAATTTCATGCCACATAAATTTATAAACAGCTGACGAATCGGGCAGTCAATTGACGCAGAGGTAGAAAAATTGATCCGAAAGGTCCCGCGAGAGGCTAAACCATCAACGGCTCTGATAATAAATTCTAAAGATCATTCACGGTATTTTTCTAGGTAATAATCATAACGGGGAAGCCCTAGAACGTTCATAAATTGTCTAAAAAATATCTGTTCCTTCGATATTGGAAAATGAGTTGATTCCTAGGAACCTGATCCCTCATAAAAAGTTCAAAGACCAGCTGACTGTTATTAAGAAAATTTAAAGGGCTATTTAGGCCTTTAAATTTATAAATTTAAAAATACGATTTTTTACAAAGATCACATTTTATTAACTCGACAAATAATTAAATTGTTGAAAACGTAGAGCTGTTATTGATCATTTTTAATACCGTCGCTATTGGCAGTCGATTAAACTTCTATTTTATACCAATAAAACCGCCAGCTTCTTAAATATATCCATGTTTACAATGCCAATGAAATCAAAAACGCTCAGGAAATATGCATCAAAATTTATCAGAAAAATCTAGCACTTTTTGAAGCGAAAGTGGCTACGAGTCCAGGATTTCAAAGCTGCTGCTCAAAACCTGATGAAAGACATGTTTTCGCTAAATCAACTAAATCCTGGAATCTGGCTGTTTATGGCAAATTTTCTCATGAAATTTAGGGGCTATGCGTAAGCCAGGTCTTGACGGGGATTTCGTGTATTTTCGAGGAACGAAAATACCCGCAAAGTTCGTCTGGGCCGGCAATGGGATGACTCGGAGAGGGAGGTCAGGAATGGCCAGCTGGACCGAGGCGGGGGTGAAGCCTCGAGGAGATGAAGGAGAGCCCAGACGGCACACATCGATCCAGGGATGGGGCCCAGGGAGGGACAAACAGAAAGAGAGAGAGAGAGAGCACACCCCACCACAACAACAACAAACACCACATTTCCGCTTTCTTGAGCTACCGGGGAAGCGGTCATGTACCTTGGTGCGCCCCAGGAAATGAGAAGCCCCCAAAAAATATATGGTAAAGCGATGACGCAACGTGACGAAATTTGTGAAGCGTGGCGTGAGGTTTGATTTTGGTGCCCTGGGGCTGTACTAAGGATCCTACGCATAAAATGGAATTTTCGAGATTTTCGGACAATTTCCCCTGGTTCGATCTGAAACGCGAAGGTGGTCTCCCTCATCATGATTTTTTTGGAAATAGATTATTTTAATCCATATGGTTTGATATTTTGCACTTGAATCATTTCATTTCGTAAACATATTTCTTCGCGTTTAATTTTATCTTTAAAGTGGAAAGGCTCGATCTCCTGTGTCCAGGCCCGTAGGAGGGGGGGGGCCCAGGGGGCCCTGGGCCCCCCGAAATCGGTCGAGGTCCGAAAAATTCATAAGGGGGGACCCTTATGATTTTTAGTTACAAAAATTTGTCTGCCTGTGGCGCTGTTTATTACTGTTTTTCAAACAGTTTTTACTTAGAAGAAGCCTATTTTTTCAAAATTTTTTGCCTGCGGCGCTGGTTTTTCATTTGTAATCAATGGTTCATAGAAATGTTCGCCTGCGGTGCGTTTGCTGCTGTGTTTTCACACGAATTTGAGTGTAGCAAACGCTTTTTTTTGCTATTTTTTTGCCTGCGGCGCTATTATTGACGCAATTTTCGGATGTTTTAAAAGTAGCGACCGGGGGGGTTTAACTTTTCCCCCTAATATTTCAAAGGGTCCATATCTTGAAATTTCATATAATCCTGCCAGGCTGGATAGCTTCTATAGCTCCATATTATTTAATGCATGCTTTATACAATTCCATTCGAAAAATCCCAGAATTTCAAATTGCGTAAATGAGAACAACAATCACGCCAAAATCCAATTCCATTTTGATGGCTTCTGGTAATGAGTATCCCTACAGACTATACAAGAAGCTATGAGCAAAAAAATGACGTGCAAAGCAGAGGAATGTCCAAAGTCGTGTGCAGAGGTGTACCCCGGCATCACCGGGCTTTTCGGAAGCGGTGGCGATCGCCAGATCTTGGGCGCCTTATCTTTCCGGGGGCCCGAAATGGAAACTCGGCCCATCTGCCGGTGGGCTAACAATGGCCGGCGGCAAAAGTGGAGATCAAAAATTAAGCGGGAGCTAGTTAGGGGATAGCGCATTAATGAGAGGGTAGAGGTATCTCGTCTTCCTAAGGTGTAGTTCATAGTAAATCATCTATAAATAATAGTTTTCAATTGAGCCAAATTATCTGAAGTCTGTAAGGTCTAGAGGGTGTCCGAATACCCCCTCGGCATTTGGACGTCTTCTATCCGATCGGGCACAAATTTTTACCAGCGATGGGAACCCATAAAAACTATCTGTAGCCGGATTTTGGGAGAAAAATACTGTAAAACACAAAAGTTATACTTAAAAAATGATTTTTTTTTTGAAATGTTGACGCTCGTTTTGGCTACGTTTTGGCAGTTAGCATGGCAATGTTGAGTACCCTGTCGAGAAATGACCACGTTCGGAACGGTTGCTGCCGATTTTGATAATAAAAAGTGGCTAAAATTCCCAATTCAGGCAGCATTTTCGAAAATCAATAAATTGGGTTCCGATCGGTAGAAGACGGCCAAATGCGGAGGGAAGGTTTTTGGGACACCCTGTATTTTTGAGATTCTTGTTTTCGAAATTTTGGTTTTCGGTACTTTGGCTACGCCCGCTAATCCCGACATGAGTATGCGATTTTCTCATATTCCCCGGAATTTTAATATTGTCGGTTTTTCTTGTATTTTTATTTCAGCATTTTAATCATAAGCTCTTTATTCTCGTTGGAACATGGAATGGCTGAGGTCGACCGGTATCTCATGGTAGTTGCCGTCATGCAAAGTTCATACAAAGCTCCCGCAAATACAATAAATAAATTAACTAAGGAGCCAATTATAAAAATCAGAAAATATGAAGAATACACGAAATACATGGGAAAATTGGCTAATTTGGGGCGAGCCCGTTGTGATTTGGGGTTGGTACTTTTATTCTGGCCAGAGCGAAGAACTGCTCGCTGCTGGTGGATTTTTCACTAAAAGTTTAAAATATAAAATACTTTTGTCACCACAGTCTCGCTCGCTCGCTCGCTCTTTCTCTCTCTCTCCCTCTCTTTTCTCTCTCGCTCTCTCTCTCTCTTCTCTCTCTCTCTCTCTCTCCCTCTCACTCTCTCTCTCCCTCTCACTCTCTCTCTCTTACCGGTTTGCTCGCACTCGAATCCCAAGCTGATACCAGGCTTCATGGCCGTTCGACACTTTTTCTTTCACCCGAATTTGCATAGATTCGATGTTGTGTTCATCGGATAGCTTTAAAAAAATATAAATTTTCATATCAATTTTTTTTAGTGATACCTGGTCCATTATTGGCTGCTCATTCCAAACCAATTTATTTTCATTCATTACCAAAGTGTAGGCGCAGATTTGGCCGCTGTCATTCTGGAAAAATAGGATTTCTCTCTCTTTCTCTCTCTCTTTCTCTCTATCTCGCTCTCTCTATCTCGTTCACGCTGTAAAGTGTATAAAATTTACATACCTGAGCAGTCATGAACAAATTCCCATTCAACAGTTGTAAATTACTCCAAATAGCATCGTCAGCGACACTCGGACAATTTCCCTCGGTATTTGAACAAACACAGGGTACCCCATTTTTCCTAAATCCCAAAATACTACATCGCGCCCGCAAGAGAACATACCGTAATCTTGTCAGCCTCAACCCTTGAAAGCTGGGCAGATACCCGACGGTTTCCTCCCCACGCGTCTCGGCTTCCAACAGCGCTGGCGGGTCGGATTTGGTCAGGAAATACGCCCTGTTTTTGAAGATTACAGGGCCTCGGATTTCGCAGTCCATCGAGAACCTGAAAATTATTGTCATTAATGCTTGTTTTTAGGTGTTACTATCCCCTTAGAATGCTTCTACTCACCGCGTCAACATGTTCAGCTTGATCGGAAGTGGCCGCTCAAGGCTTGGAGCGCGGACTTTGAAGGACAGCTTGGCTTTCCGGAAAGGAACTAGCGTCAAATCCATTCGGTCAAAAACCGGAAATGACACCTTGATCATCACCGACCAGAAGTTCTGAAAGAGCTATGCGGAGAAAAAAGTAGAACCTACATTTTCTAGCTTTGGTTTCTCGATATCAAGCGAATTCTGGGAGATGTGGCTTTCAGAATGTGAGGATAGGGTTCGTTGAGCGGAAACCCGGCTTGGGAGATGTTCATCCGAATTCGAGCTGTCTGAGGTTGAGGCGGAGAGTCGTTCTTTGTTCACCTAAAAAGGAGCTGTTTTTCCATGAGAAGAGAGAAAGAGAGAGAAAGAGAGAGAGAGATCGAGAAAAGCATTTTTAAGACCACAAACCTGTTGTAGAAAAAGTTGACGATCCGAGCTTCTCCTCGATTTTATGAATTTCTTATTTTCCTTCCGCGATAAAAATGAAACGACGACTACCGCTGGCGCTAGTCGATTCATGTTGACCTAAATCACAAAAGTTACATTTTAAAGACAACAGAAAACCTTTGAAGAGCTCTACCAACCTCATAGCCAAACGGCTTCAACTGGGTCTTAATCTCCTGTATAACATCCACAACTCCCTCTCTCAATATCAATAAAAAGAATTCGAAGCTCTTCGTGGAATGATTTTTCAAGACGGCCATTACCCGGAAGGGAGTTCTAAAATTCGTTCAATATTGAGCAAGCCTTTCACATACTCAGTAATCGTTGTGAATCTCGCCCAATAATAGTGGCTGCTCGTCAGGGTTAGGGGCAATAAATAATCAACGATCTGGGGGTCCTGATTGGCGTTACGGTATTTGATTAAGCGGAGGGTATTTTCCTTCTCGTTGTGAAAAAGAGCTCCATTTTCTACAATATCAAAGGCGGCCGCTGGGCCGGCTGGAATGTCTTCGGGTGGCCACATGCATAGGTTGGCCGCGGCTGCAAATTGAACTTTAGGGCTGTTAAAAAAAGGTAGGACAAAGAAGATCGAATGAGAAGGTATAAAATATAGTTAATTTTGCCAAACAGTTATATGGTGGTATAAATAGTAGAACTAGGAATAAATGAATAATTAAGAAGAATGGCAATTATGACAAAGTTTTGTGTTGGCTATCGGCGTTCTAAAAATTTTCCGCCGGCGCGATACGCAGCGCGCATGCGGCTCATCGGAATTAAAGGCGTCGTAAGAGTCCATATGGTCATAATTGTTAGCCAACAAAATCTGTAACTATACCTTAAACGTTCATTAAAAGGGCATCGTGATGTACCGGATGCTTAATTAAAGCATAACGATCAAAAAGAAATTTTTTTTGAACAGGAAACGGGCCCCCTATCTGCAAGCAGCTGCTGATTCAGACGCTTTGGGTCTGTGACTCAAGCAATAAACGCGGAACGTGCAAAGAAAATTAGGCGGAATTTCAAAATGCAAATAAATAAAGAATTACCATATAAAATTAACGGTTATTTTGGCGACAATAAGCTCAAAACCTTGGATGTGAAATTCGTTAGGTGTATAATTGGGGAACGGCCGCGGAATCAGGTGACGGCCGGGATGGGGTGATAAGAGGTTTGGTGCATACACACCACGCGTAATATTTTGCCCAAAACGCCCGGAGAGCCGCTTGATAAAGGCGCATAATAAGGCGGCTTGAAGTCAGACGAGTGAAAAAAAAACGTAAAGGGCAATTGGGCACAAACTGGGCACATATTTTTTTTGAGGGCTGTACTATTGACATTGTTTTCTACAAAATTTAAGGTTAAAGATAATCAAACGTTTACTCCAGTAAAAGTTGAAACCGATTAGAAAGCTTAGACTCAAGTCAGGAAAAGCTGAGTTTTCTTGCTAATCATTATTATGAACGGCCAGCGCCCAAAACCCGCTTCGCGGGCCTTGCGCGCTGGAATGCGGCCTTTGCATGAGAAATTGGACTTTTCGATAGCTTGGGTCCTTCGGACCCCTTCCCCCACCGACCACACACGCGCGGGCAAATTGCAAGAATGAGGAAATTTGTATTTTTTTCAGATTATGCAAATTACCCCCAAAAATGAATAAAACCGGCTTTAACTTTGTAAACGTGTATTTTATCGAAATTTTGAAATCGCCATAAGAGGAGGGTCGATTCCCCCGGGTGGCGGAGAATTAGGGCATTTTAGACACGGGAAGGCCCTCAAATCGGGCCTCGAAAGTGACATCCACACACACACACACACACAGAGATACACCCCAAAATTATATAAGGTAGGATAAAGATTCTTCAGAATAGGAATTTCCAAAGAAATCAATTTAAGTGTTTTGAGACAGACATCTGAAGGAGCTTTTGGTTTTATGTGTGCGGGCAAGCCCGTTTTGCCTAGCTCCACGACGACGAAAAATAGGAAGAGCTGAATAAGAAAAATACAAACATGAAAATCATAAAATTGCGGCTAGCTATTTGCGTCTTGATTTCTGGACCAAAAATGAAATTAGTTTACCGAAATTGCAAACTCGCAAAACCTGCACAAACCGCACGAACGTGAATGTCAACCCCAGTCCCACTCCCCGCGCGAAAAACCACTTTCGAAAAAATGCTGACGATGCGGGCCGCGCGGCTATCGGGCTGATGAAATATTCGAGTGCGCGAGAATTTGAACTTTTCACGGAGTTTTGGAGACATCAGTTTATCGCAAATTTATAGCGGAAAACCACGTGGAAAAGGGTATAATGTAGTCGAAAATTTGTTGTGGCCATTGAGATGGTCTGGGGGTACCGTTTTGACCTTGGAAAGTGTGTTTGGCGCTCAAAAAGGGACGAGGTGAAACTGGGTGGGTAGCTAGCCGGTGGACTATTGGACTATTGGGTTGAAAAGTACAAATCACGAATTTAGGGCATGGTTAGACGGCACTTTAAAGGGATTTGGAAGGCAAAAGGTTGCTCATCTTTTAGAATGGACCACCATCCAATAATGCTTCTTTTTACAGGCTTTCGGTGTCCTTAAAATGTAGAAGTAGTGCACAAAGAAGCCGTGCAAGCTATAATTAAATTGTTAAATTAAGAAGCATTTAATCAAGGCAATAATTAACTTGAAATGTACCTCGAAAGCAAAAATTTCGTCAGATTTAATATTTTTTGGCATTTTTTGCACCAAATCTTTTATGCTTTTATAGAGTTCAGAAAAAGTAGAACAAGAAAAATAGTTTTCTAAAAAGAAAGTACATCTTGTAGTTTCTTTCAAGCCCAGAAGTGAAAAGAAACACTCCGTCCCGTGGGGGCGGACCCGGAAGCGTCTTTGTGCGCTTTTCTCGGGCCCCCTTGAAAGCAAATACTCGAGCCAGGGTGACGGGAATTCGATAAATCTGAGCTGAATTTCATTTGTACCCGCTACGCACGAGATTGGGGACAGAAATAGGGTGGATTTGGGGTTATTTTAGGGTTAAGGAGGCTGACAAGCATAGATTTCTACGGAGTTCCTATGGGTGGAGAAGTTCGCCATGCACAATTGTTCGTAATCGATTACGCCATTTAATCGTTCGGAACCCATTTCCAATGAAAACTTGAGTGGGTGCGTTGCGTGTCGCGGTGTAGGAAAAATTTGGAGGAATACTTACAGAAAAAATGAAAAAGTTTTAGGGAAATCGTTTATGATTCAAAAGATGGAAATATACGCGTTAAATTAGAATCGATACCTCAAATCTCCCCTAAACCATCCTGTTTTCCACATAAAAAGTCATATGATTGTTAGCAACTCTATAAAAAGCAAAGCACAAAAGCCTAAAACAAGGCGAAGATGCGAAGGGCGGGGCCTGGCTAGGGCCAAGGCCCAGGGATCTCCTTCAGGGAGTCCGTACCCCCCCCTCTCCCTTGGCATCTTCCCCGCTATGTTTCGTTTTCATATTAAGGTGCTATAAAAGGTCTAGTCTATAATTCTGTCTTCGGAGGAAAATGCACAGTCAGGTTGGTCGATTGCTTGCGGACTTTGTTCTTGAGATCGGAGTTTTGGGAAGAGCTATTACAGAGGAGGTTTGAATCTAATTAGTGCAGTGCTACACACAGCTACACGTTCCCTGAGAGAACAGAGGACTACACACACGCTATATCCATAAACTAACACATATATATAAGGATATAACATGGAGGTCCCACCTCACATGAATTCGATATAACTCTTTCCAAAAACCGGAGTAACCCTTAGCTGGATAGCCAATGAATCCTCCGTTCTGCCCAAAAGTTATCCAGTTGTCTCAAGAATATGAGCTTTCGACTACCACTAGATCGCCCTTTGCGCATAATTAGGGGAAACGCCGTCTCAGGTACCTGACACTCCAAAATTTCGCTATAAAAATAAGTCACTTGAGATCAGAAAAGCGCAAGGGTCATTTAAGAATTTACGGAGGCTAAATCGATGGCCATCGTAAAACCAAAAAGGCGAGTCGGAAAAATTCTAGAAGTGAAAGTGCTGAATCTGGGCCCAAGATGAAGCCACGGCGTTCCAAACTTTTCGAATCCCCGATTTTCCCTCACTGTTTCGCTTAACGCACAGTGACCGACTCTGCTAGATCTAGTGTGCACGGGTTTATTTTGGAAATCGTTTTAGAGATTCTTAACTTTAAGGGAACCTAATTCGAATAGGCCCTATGGGGAAATATCTCTTCTTCGTTTCCTGTGATCTCTATTTTCATTATTTGAAAGGTTTATTTTCGGAAATATGGATGAGCACTCAAAATTCTTAAATTTCTTATTACTTCATTTTCCATTATTATCTATTTAAATTTTTGTATATTCCAAATACTTAAAAAAAAAATTAATTAAAATTAAAATTTTCGCTGAAAAGCCCATCCACATTGTTATACGAAAGTGAATCATTCCAAGAATTCGAAATATTTTTGAATTTATTAGAAAATCCATGATATTTTGGTGAGATAAGTCAATTAATCACATAAATCCAAAAAGTCTTATTTAAGGTGTAGCGGATGGATTTCTAATAAATTTAAAGCCTCATATTTTGCTTTAGTCTCGTATCAACTACCGTAATATTTTGTCGCAACCGGGGCCCCACTCTGGAAGGTTGGACCCGGAGAGGAGGCAATTAATCTCTCCCCAACCCTCGTTCGGCCGATCTCCCTGCTCAAAGGGTCGAACCGAAAGCCGAGCAATTTTTCACGTCCCCGTTTTCCCGGAGGGAAAGTTCCACTGATTAGAGGAACATTGGGCCACTAACTTTACAGCCGGCTAGATAGACCAGAGGGGCCCACCGGAAAACTTTCGAGCAAAATAGAAACGTAACGAAACGGTAGATTCAAAGTTTAAAACAAAAATAAATAATAAATAATATGTAAATCATTATCAAAATAAGAGTAGATAGCAGGCATTGGGGATCTAAAATAGACAAAATTTTACGCAAAAAAAAATAATATTCTCTCTTTTACAAGTTAACGAATTTTGTCTATTTGGGAAATTGAATGCCCACAATAAAATATAATTAAGCTGTTGCTTCCATTCTCTTTGACATCTCTCATTCCCTCTTTCTTAAAAATGTCAAATTAAAACAAAAATGTAGAATCGGCTTGGGACAACGGAAGGTGAAAAATCTATCAGGTTGGTAGATAAGTCCTGTCACAATTTTTTGAAAGCGCCGTAGAAATCCACAGAAACGTCGGATTTTCACTTTCGATACATGATTTGATAGATCTTGGGACGCGCTACTTGGGCAAAACCCTATTTGGTCCCCAAAGTGGCTCGCCTTCGAGTTACAGCTCCGGGAAGTTTTTCATAAAATCTTGAGAAAGCTATTTAGCGTGCTATCTCTGCATCGAGAAATTTGCATGCGATACCTTCAACACCAATCGATAGCTCTCGAGGAGTAGATATCGGTAGATCTTGAGATCATCAAAATTGGACACCGGATGGCCGAGATACGGGTCCTTCAAATTTGGTCCATTTCTTAGAACTTTTCCCGAAATCCCATACATTTAGAACCTCCTCCGTCCACAAATCAACTGGCATGATTCGTCTGCCGCAGAAGGCGTAAAATGTATGGGATTTCGGAAAAAGTTCTAAGAAATGGACCAAATTTGAAGGACCCGTATCTCGGCCATCCGGTGTCCAATTTTGATGATCTCAAGATCTACCGATATCTACTCCTCGAGAGCTATCGATTGGTGTTGAAGGTATCGCATGCAAATTTCTCGATGCAGAGATAGCACGCTAAATAGCTTTCTAAAGATTTTATGAAAAACTTCCCGGAGCTGTAACTCGGCGTCTTGTAACCTTTCGGCCATGTGCGGCCGCTCCCATTCTAGAGCAGCCCAAGACCTATCAAATCAGGTATCAAACGTTAAAATCGGCCGTGTCTGCGGCTATAAAGGGAGATTTAAAAAATTTGTGACAGGACTTATCTACCAACCTGATACAAGCCAAAGACAAAAAGGCGCGGAAGCGTAGGCCATGCTCGGCACTGATCTGGGCTTGGCCCAGCTCACGCCGTACGATGGCCGGGTCAACTCGAGCGCGTACGGATTTGCAAAGAAGTGGCTCGATTCCTGCCGACTTCTCGATGCTGAACATGACCCAGGACCAGCAGCTTTCGGGCCCTTTCTGACCAAGAGGGCGAAAGCTGTCTGGGACGAGATGCCCGAGGCTGATTTCCGAGGGGCAATCCGAGATGTGCTCGGCAGATGGGCAATTCGACTACGCGACAGTGCCGGTCGGAAGAAGGAGTCGCGGAATGCCCTACGTAATATCCGAATCCGCCTTGATTCAGATTTATGGGCCGTATATGACCAATTACTTGGACTCGTAGAGGGACGAGGAGCCGACTGGGAACAACTCGATCTTGAAGCCCGAAAGGAACTCCTAGCTCGGCTACCGCCCGAACTTGACGATTTTGTCCAATCCAGCCAGAACCCGGAGCTCAATGAGCAAACCTCCACCACGGAATTGTTGACAAGATTGGCCGGTCAGCAGCAACACCTCGAGAAGAAGGCGAGCGTGAATTCCGTCACAACCGACATCATCAAGAAGCTGACCGAGAAGATCAACGCGCTTCAAGTACAACAGCCAAACGCCAATCAGCAAAGAGTGGATCGCGCTCAAACGGAAGGTTCTGGACGCGGATTCTCGAGCCGAGGACGAGGACGTGGTCGATGGCCAGGAAGAGGCGGTCGAGGCGGAAACCGTGGTTCCGGAGGAGGCTTTCGAGGAAACCGCGGAGGTTATCAAGGACGTGGGGGATGGTGGCCGAACGTTTGGCAAGGACCACAAGGATGGTGGCAACAAGGCGGCCCATCCCAAGGACAATTCCTGCCGCAGAATCAATGGCAGCAGAATCAAGGCTTTCCTCAGAACCAGAACCCACAGCCCCAAGGCCAATTCCAGGCGAGAAACGCCACTTACCATGTCACGGATGATCTAGAATATCCGGAGGTGTATGTCGAGCCCACCCCGCAACAAAGCCAGCGCAACCGCGGAAACGGAATCTGGAACTTCACAACGATCTGCATGATAGTGGCATTGATCTGTTTCCCGGTCGTGAGCGGACTGACAGCGGTGAACTGCTTGAAGACGGCGAATCCAAGGCTGATCAACCTGCCGGATCTATCAGATTGCTCCCTGAGCCATCAAGGAGTTCGATGGACGGCGAAAGTCTACGAACGGAACGAGAACTTCAAGAAAGTTCCAAGCTTTCATTGCTCGGTGGAGCAAGTGAGGGCTTGCCGTCGAGCGTACTTGGGGATATTCGAAAGCGGAGAAGCCACCCCCAGTGTTCCGGATGAGATCTCAGCCGAGGAATGTCGCCACGCAGTGGAAAAAGGAACTATCGAAAACAGGAAATTGATTGGACGGTCACAACATTTTTGGTCTACGGATCAAGATGACTCACCTACGACACCTTGGTGGGGAGAGCGATGCGTAGAAGTCCGTCGCTTTGAGGTCACCGAAGGGGAAGCTTGTCGCGGTCAAGATGAGATCATATTGACCATAACGCCTGGTCTAGCCCCATTGGACAAGAACGAGATCCGACTTTACAACGGAATCACCGTCTGGGGAGACCTGAGCGAGACGAAATGTGACTACAAATTCATCAAGCTCGCTGATGTCTTAACGGATTATTCCCGAGTCTATCTTCAAGAATTGGGATGGATAGATGGGCTAACATCTGAAGAGCCCGTCGAAAAATGCGAGCAAATCGGGTATGAAACATCCGGAGGACTCTTTATAGTCCGGGAAAATGGCAAACAGAAGCGAGAGGCGCCCCCAAACGGCAAAGCGATTGCACTCCCGCAAATCGCCTTCGAATACAACCCACTTCTCGACCCCGAATTTGATTTAAAAAAATCAGTCGGCGATATTGATCAGAATGCAAAAGCCCTGCATCGTATTGGAAACCAAGTGGAGCAAGTGAATGGGTCTACGTTCTACAGGATCAGTCGGGCCTGGCAACAAATTGAAGCATGGAATAAGACGTGGATCGAGAAAGGTATGGATCTGGCGGGAGCAAAAAATCGATTCGATGAGGTTAGAATTAGCCGATTTTTACAACTACCAAAAGAACCAGAATGTGGTTGGTAGGCTGCGAGAATTAGAACGGAAAGTGGAGGACGCCAGGCTCCAGGCGAATACTCCAGCACCCGAAACGATCACGACGACAATATCCAGCAAATTGGCAAGCGAAGAGGCGACACGCGCAAAAACGCTCAGAGACATCATCCAAAGGCTAGAGAAATTGGAGGCTAAGGAAGACCCGATCCCTCCAAACACAGCTGGTTTGGAACTCAAACTCAAGGAGATGATGAAACGGCTGGAGGATCAGAAGACGGTTGATGACAACCTCAAGGAGCTTATTCAGGAGTTAAGGGAGCAACTCGATCTGTTAGCGACACCGGAGCCTCAGGCAAGCATCCATGATCCGTTTGAAGTCGAATGTAACCGACAGGCAGAGGAACTTCGCTATTGGAAACTTCAATTAGCCGTGAATCCGACATATGCGTCGCGAAAACTGCTTGGGAAAGCAAATTTGTTGGCCCAAATGATCGATGAAAACCGGTTCATCGTGAGTGAGTGCCAAACAATCGAGCTCACCGAATCCATTGTAATCAAAACCCAACGGGTAGAAGAACGGTGTTTCGCGGAAGTCCCAATCAAGCATGAAGGCGAAATTAAATTCCTGAAAGTGCCGGAAATGGATATCGTTCCGAACGGCACAGAGATCAGTTGCCGCGGAATGAGGATCGCACCAGCCGTATTGTATATGGACTTCAAAGCAAACAATGCCAAGAAACCACTGGGAAATTCAAATCTCGGAAAGCGAATGGCACGGCAAGGCCTATCCGATGGTCCGAGAAAATGGGTAAACACACCGATCCAGTGGATGAAGGACATTCAATCGAAATACCGGCAAACTACGGATGGAGCAGGCGACCTGATTGACGAAGTCAAGAATTATACCAGGACTGTCGTTGACAAGGCCAAAGACACCGCAGGACAAGCAATGGAGAAAGGCAAAGTGGTGCTCAAGGACGCTCTAGCGGAAGTCAAAAGTTGGGCGTTAAAAATAGTCCTCTGGGTAGGAATCCCTTTGCTCGTGGTCTTGGCCTTCGTCGCCTTCGCCGTGTTTTACTTTAAAATCTATTTAATCCAGACCTCGACGAAATCGCTGACAGGAATCGTGCGCAGCATCTTACCTCAACACACTAATGCGCTAAGCGCCGACGAGCTACAAACCATGCCGTTGGACCAAATCAGCGCAGTCATCAGTCGAGAACCGGAAGTGAAGATCGAGCCTGTAAGGCCAGCACCGATCCGAACAAGACGTGGCAAGCCAGAAAGCATGGCAGCCACATGGCAACGTCTGGCTACCACAGTCGCAATGATCGCAACTTTGGCATCAGCGTCTGCATTGCCAGTCGTTCCCATCCATCTAGACGGCCATCCATGCGTAGCCCTACTCGACACGGGGAGCACGGTCTCCTACATGCGGCAAAGTATTTTCAAAAATATTTCGGAACCGGCAAAGCTCAAGCCAAGTCAAAGAGGACCTGCGCGGACGGCAAATGGGGAAACTTTCACATTCCTTGGGGAGGTTCTCAGCCTCGTCACAATCGGAAAAACGAATACGGTCTTTCCGATGCAAGTTGCACGAGACGATCAATGCCCTCTTCCAGCTCTAATCGGAAACGATTTGTTCAAAAAACTGGCTGCAAATGGAGTGCTGATAGCATTCGACTTGGAGAAGAGAGTGTGCCATCTCGGCAAGAATAAGGTCAAAATGCTGGAACCCGGAGAACAAGCGCGAGTGAATGCGCTAACGATGACGATCCCTTGCCCTGAAGAAGTGATAATTCCTCCGAAAAAAGGTGGCCTGGATCAAGGCTGTTGCCTATCCCAGCCCCGAACTGCCAAGTTGTCATGACGGGCTTTGAAGGAAACGCGGCTGAGCAGGAATTCTACAACCCAATTCCGCAACCGAATGAACCTGACGGAGGGTCGACAAAGAAGGATGGATCCGAGTCGGGAACCCAACACAAGCTCAAATGACAATTCCAGCTGGAGAAGCTATCGGAGAGGCGACACTTTACCCGAAATATTATGCGGGAATCTACTCGATCTCGGACGAAGAGTACAATTCACTGATCTTCCCTTCAGAAGAAGCCGATTTCGAGGCGCACTTGCCAGAAGCACCTAGGAACGTATCCTTTCTGGACCACGTGAAGGAGAAGATTAACTTCAAAAACAGTGTGCTGAACACCGCGCAACGATCTCGACTGATTCAAATGATTCTGGATCATCAGCAGGCCTTTATCGGACCAGACGGACGGCACGGAGAATTCTTGGGGAAAACAGTCCACCGCATACCTCTACTGGACAAGGATCTGATCCCGAGACGTCGCCCGATGACCGTACCGCTCGAGAAGCAAGCTGAAGTGGAAGCCCAATTCGGCAGTTTCTGGCCCAAGGTCTAATAAGGCCCAGCACATCACGATACTGTCACTCCATCGTGCTGGTCAAGAAAAAGAACTCGAATAAGCAACGGTTTGCTATTGACTACCGACCCCTGAATGCCAATACGAGGAAAGCGGCCGTCATTTTGCCGTTAATTGGAGACCTCGTCGATAAGCTTGCCGGCGGTTTCATCTACACCTCGCTGGATTTGATGGAAGCTTTCTATCAGGTCAAGCTGGACCGCCGGGACGCCCATAAAACGGCGTTTGGGAGCCACATCGGCTTATACGAATTTATCTGAATGCCGATGGGGGTCAAAGAGGGGCACCCGGAACGCTCATGAGCGCCATGCACGAAGCGCCCTGCGGATTGAAGCCATCGTCGTCGCCTACCCCGACGACGTGGCGATCGTCAGCTCATCAGTGGAAGCCCATCTAAAGGACCTCGAAGAAGTTTTCGAGCGGCTACAGCAGTTCGGGCTTAAACTAAAGCTCGAAAAGTGCGAGTTTGGGGTCAAGGAGATCTCTTACCTAGGCCTGATCATCGGAAGGGACGGAGTGCGACCCAATCCCGAAAAACGAAAGCCATCGATGCCTATCCCCGCCCAAAAACCAGTCACCGACGTCAGATCATTTTTGGGCGCCACAAATTATTTTCGTCGCTTTATTTGAGGATATGTAGCGATTGCGGCACCACCCAACGAGTTGACCAAATTGGATGAGGAATTCAACTGGACAGACGAGCGCGAGAACGCATTCCAAGAATTGAAACGACGCCTAGTTTCGGCGCCAGTCCTGACCGCCCCGATCAGGGGATTACCGTATATCATCGAGACTGATGCAAGCGGAATTGTTCCGGGCCGGCATCCCTCCAACTCCAAGACGGATTGGAAAAGGTCATTTCCTACTGGAGTCGGAAATTTACTTAGATTCAAAAGAGATACGCGGCAATTGAACTGAGGCTCAAGTTGCCTGCTGGGTCCTCCAGAATTTTACAAAAATTATGTCTGGGAGCCAGCGTCGATAATAATCCGGACCGATCATCGTCCGCTGACAACACGTGGATCAGGGAGAAAAACCTTACCCCAAGGCTGACCAAATATCAGCTATCATTACAAAGCTACAATTTGGTCTGGGAGTACAAAAAGGGAGTTCACAACGTAGTTAGCGGACGCGCTGTCACGCCATCCACCGGAACCAGAGGAGAAAAGGAAGAGATCCATGCCCTAGATTCCGAGGAACTCCTGAACCCAGAACAGATCCGCGAAGCCCAGGGGAAGTGCAAATGGATAACGGAAATCCCACGGACAGCGACCGTCAAGGGATAGGAGCCGGAAGTGAAATCGAAGAAGGTCACGGAACGGGCGCAGCGACTATATTGCGCTAGAAGGAACTTTATACAAAACCGAAGGATCAGCTGACTACGCCGACGGTGGTTCTCCCGGAAGACTCGGAAGTGAAACGAGAATACATTCGCCATTTCCACCAGCGACCACAATTTCGGCGCACATTATCTTCCGGGGAGCGAGCGCACTTCAAAGCTCGTCCGGCAAAAATATAGCTGGAACGGGACTGAAACGACAAACCGAGAAATTCACTGCCGAATGCAAAGAATGCCAGAGAAGAAAACCTGACCCCACCTGACACAAGCGCCCATGGGACAGCTTTGAACCAGCAGCCCGGCCTTGGGAATGAGTGCAAGTCGGACATTTGTGTCCCATTGCCGCAGACGGAAAGGGGGTCACCGCTACTTCGTCACAATGGTAGATGCGTTTTCGAAATACGTCGTGACGAAAGCGGTGGCAGACACAGAGCGGAAACAGTCGTGCGTACTCTGTATGAAGAATTGTACACGAATTCGATTCCCGACGCTGCTTGTCTCGACAGGGGCTCCAGTTTCATTGCGAACAATCCGAAGAAGTTCAAAAACTCTTCGGCATCAGGCACAACTTGTTCCGGCCTACGTCCATTCTACGAATGGGCAAGTTGAGCGAGTCCACCGCACTCTGGAGGAGCTGATGGCAACGGTTATGGATGAAAGGAACCTACCAAAAACGGAATGGGATCGGTACCTCCCATTAATCACGTTCGCCCACAACCGAAGCATTAACAAGACGACCAACAAGGCTCCATATGAGGTTCTATTTGGGAAAAGGCCGGACGATCCGGAGGATTTTCTGAAGGAGCTGCCAAGATGGAACTACACCACAGTAGACGATTATTGCGATATCCTCAAGTCCTCGTTGCCGCACATCCGGGATGAAGTCAAATACTGGATCTCCACGGCACAGCCGGAAATGAAGCAATACCAAGACAAGGTAAAGAAGGCCAAGGAGAGAAGCTATGCTCCCGGACAATTGGTGATGATCAAGAACGAGACGGCGTACAAACTCGGACCACAATGGGATGGTCCGTACGAGGTGCTTCTGAGAGGAGGATACGACTGTGGAGCTCAAGGGCCGTACCTTACGTCAAAAGCTCACGGGTACACAAAAACCGTATCAAGAGCTTTCGAACCGGGATCGACAATGGAGAAGTAGACGAGGATGGAGAGATGAACGATTCCGCTCTTGTGGAGCGCGCCTAAAGTTCGAGGACGAACTTTCTCGGCCGCGAGGATGTTAGCAACTCTATAAAAGCAAAGCACAAAAGCCTTAAAACAAGGCGAAGATGCAAAGGGCGGCCTGGCTAGGCCAAGGCCCAGGGATCTCCTTCAGGGAGTCCGTACCCTCTCTCCCTTGGCATCTTCCCCTGCTAAGTGTTCTTGCTTTCATATTAAGGTGCTATAAAATATCTAATCTATACCTCTGTCTTCGGAGGAAAATGTACAGTCAGGTTGGTCGATTGCTTGCGGACTTTGTTCTTGAGATCGGAGTTTTGGGAAGAGCTATTACAGAGGAGGTTTGAATCTAATTAGTGCAGTGCTACACACAGCTACACGTTCCCTGAGAGAACAGAGGACTACACACACGCTATATCCATAAACTAACACATATATATAAGGATATAACATGATATTCATATGCGATTCATATGCTATAGGAATTGAAGGATTAGAGAGAGAGGAGAGGAGAGAGTAGAGAGAGAGAGAGAGAGAGAGAAAGAGAGAGGGAGTGAGAACGAGAGCGATAAACCGGATTATTTCCATGAACTTTCAACCGGTCATAAACCAGAACCGAAACCGTCACGCATAAAAAAGCGAATGGTGACACCAGACCTCACGCGGAGGTGCCAGAAAAAACGTGGCAGTACCGATTAGGGCTCGAAATTCGAAAGGGAGTTCGGGGTCTGATTGCCCACCCGGTGGTGCGCATACATTTTTTGGGCGGCCAGCCCCATGCCACGACCCTTGCCGGCTATTTGCCATCCGAAACGGACCATTCGAGGCCGTTTTTGGAAATTCCAGCCGGGCTACGACATTACAATTTACGACTTGGTAGTTATAGCTATACTCGTGAGTTATAGACGAGTTACGCGCATTTTTGTTTTTTTTATGCACCTGCATCAAACGGTTTCTTTTCCAGCAAATGGTCTTTTGGAGGTTCCGATCTCGGCCACACATAAGAATCTCACGGTTTTTATAACTCTTTCCAATGAAAAAGATTGCAATATGTCATCTCATGATTTTATCTAATTTAATCAAATAAAAAAGATGATTAAAATATTTGGTTAACGGAAACTGGTTATTAATAATCAGGAAAATCGGAGAAATAACAAATTACGAATAGTGAAAAGGTATATTCAAGGGTTAACGTCTCAAAGTGTTCAAAAGTTAAATATGACGTTCTTTTTAAAAAAAAAACTCTCAAATTCAATCTGAATAAACACAAAGTATCGAATGGAGGCTATTCTCAACGGTCAAAAATTCATCGTAAAATTCTTGAGCCGCCACTTTATGGCACCACATTTCAAGGCACGCCACAAAACAGGTGCAAAACGAGTGGGGGGAAGAGGCGATCTTGTCGCCTGGCCTGCACGGCCACGTCAAACCGTCACCGAAAAAACACGGGCCCTGAAGCTAAAAGGAGAAAAGGAGGGGCCCGGTTGAGGGCCCAATGGCTAGGGTGTCTTCCCCTCTCTGTGGTGGTGCCCCCGATCGACACGGCAGCGTCTGGGCCCTCCCCTTTTCAGGCGGTCTCTCTCCTCTTTGCTCTCTCGCTTCTCCACCCCTTTAAACGCAAAAGAAGCGGCACTGGGCCCCTAGATGGCCATCTGTTCCGGGGGGTGGCCGTTGGAATTGAGGTCTATTATGAGGGTTTTTGTATAGATGGAGGATTGCAGCATAGCTCTAAAAAATTGCAAAAATGGCCAGTTTTTCAGGGGTGTTTAGAATGTCTTTTATGTTTTCATTGTGTTAAATCCGTATATAAGATTAAGAGCTTTCCAAGGATTTTCTATAAATTTAGCCAGACATAATCCAATTTTTTCGGGTTACTCGCTAGTAACAAATCTGAGATTTCTTAGTCCATCAAATTCCCAAATAATACATTACAACACGAAAATGATTTGGGAAATTATGAACTAGATTTACAGGGCAGTATTTATGTGGAAATCGTTGACTTAAGATATGTAATTCGTAAGTATTTTGGTTTTTTGGAAGAATAGGATTTTTGAAAGTTCTAAATAATACATTAAGCCATGGAAATATTTAAAAAAGCGAAAAGCTCTTTTTTTCTGAAGGTTTACGAAAGAGAAGAAATCACGTATAACATTATTGCAAAGTTAGGGTGGACCACAAACTATACATTACGACACGAAAATGGTTCCAAAAGAGGATTTCTTGCTTTTTAGCACGGTGATCATGGCCAAGGAAACCTAACACCCGCCAAATCCCTACACGACGATTATCCCCAGCCCATTCAACTGCCTAAGCGTTCCCCGGGGCGCCAAACTCCGCTTTTTTACGCTGAAAAATTGGTGTCTGGACGGCCAAACAACCCGACGCGCTTCCCGGGGTTCATCAATCTATGACCCAAATCTCGAAAAACGGGCGGTGAACAATGGACCTCGCCGGGTGGTTGGGTTGCCGGAGGGTCTTTCGGTAGCTTTGCCTTCCAGAGTTCTAGCTTCTCGTGGTTGTGTCAAGACAAATGTTGCGCAACTTGACTCCACGGGTTCCGCTTCTGGGTTCAAGTTCATTTCTCTTGCAAACGGCTGACGTTTTGAGCTCCAAAACCCCTCAAAAAAATTCGGGGTAGTTGCTGTGTGTAACACGACATCATTTCTCGAGAAATTTGACGCTCAATTAAAACCACTTTTTGCTATTTTGAAATGCGACTCTTACATGCAAATTTTTATTCAAATAAAGCTTCTAAAAAATGCACGGTCCTTTAATTCGTGAAATGAATAATTTCCCGAAAAATTGGCTCTCAATTCAAGCAACTTGTCCTTTATGCAAATTTTTATTCAATTCAGCTGTCAAAAACCAAAAAACCACACACAAAAATCAATAGGTTAATTTGCAACATGTTGCGCCCCGAAAGAACGGGCCACATGACGACAGAGGAAAGTACGCGGGGCGAATGAGCAAACAGATGTCAGGCAAACGAGCGTCGAAAAAAGCAAAATTTACAGCGACACTTCACTTTTCAGGCTCTTCAGAAGGTGGCGTGGGATCTTCCGGTTTTTCTTCGGAGGTCCCGGTTGGAAGGCCAAGTCGATTGCTCGTGTAGATTTTTACTTTTTTCTGAAAATGAAGATATAGTGAAGCTAGGGGATCTAAGGGGGCTAGAAAGCCGAAATTCGACCCCTCCGATTTGCTCGGTCTCGACAACTTCAAATACCCTAAAATCCACCCAAGCCTGTTTGAATAAAATAAAATTAGCTTGGGATTTTTCAACGTTTTTTTATGTTTCGCATAACTTTAGATTCCTAGTTGACGACAGTGGTAGATTTTTACGCTTGTCTGACCCTTTAAAAACCCAAGATCTTACCTTGCTAATCTTGTATTTATTAGCTACAGAAAATACCTGTATCGTTGCATGGATCGGTTCCATAATCTTATAGTTCTTCGGCGCATTAATGGGTATTATTGGCCGCAAGTCCTCATCAAGGAAAATTTTTGTCGTGACTCCAGTCTCATCAACGACATTTATCGACAACGGATCTCCAGCGTTTTGAGACCCGAACGACTCATCTGGTACCAAACTTGCCACTGAAGGACGTGGAGCGGATGGTGCCTGAAAAACCGATCATTACTGCCAAAAATTGGTTCGATACCTCGGTCGTCTCCGGTTCTTTGAAATGTATAAATGGCATAATCGGTTCTGCTTTCTTCTTCATTTCGGTGGGTCCAATGATGTAGTGCATATTAGATAGTAGGTGCTCTTCATCTTGCTTTGCCTCTGAAGCTTGTATCGCCCCCGTTTCGACAGCGTGATTTGGGACATTGGGTAGCGGAATTCCCAGAATACCACGTAAGGGTATTAAAGCCGGCATTCCCAGGCTTGTCGCCTCTATATTTTGAGTAGTAGTTTCTTCTATCGCTTTGATCGGACCCATCGTTTCCAAGCCGTTCGGAGGTGTGGGGCGTACTTCAGGTGCCCGGGTTTCTTTAGGCTTAGAGTCTGTCGTCAATAAATCCTGATCTTCTGTGGCTGCCTCTTTAATTTCCGGGTTTGGGATGGATCCAATCGTTGTGCTGATATCGGAATTTCCCTTCGGAATCCCGCGGTACATTGTGGTTTCGGGATTGGGGTTTGAAGTCTCGGTGTCTTCCTCAGGCCAAGGGTGCGCTGGCTCGATTATGGGGAGGCCTGAATTAAATCCTTTTCACGTTGATAATGTATTAATTCTACATAGCGCTTTCAAAAATAGGTATTTAATAAATAAAATTACCTGGAGGTGTAGCGCACTTTTCTTCACTTTCATCACTACCATCCGGACAATCCTTGGTGTCGTCGCAAAGCAAGTCACGAATTATGCACTCTCCTGATTTGCATCTGAAAGCTTGCTTTCCGTTTCTGTCCGTTTTCGCTCCATCGCTCTCTCTCTCTCTCTCTCGTTCTTTCTCTCCGCTCTCTCTCTATCTCTCTCTATTCTAGAAATATTTTAAGAAAAACTCACAAAAATTCGAAAGGCTGACAACCAATTGTCGATTCGTTATGTTTCTTCTGAAATCTTTGCATAATCACTGGAAGCGGCACTCCAGGTCCCATACGTGATGGTATTTGACGTGGATTTTGTAGAGGTTCTAAAATGCGTTGTTTCGCACCTTTTTTCCTACTTTCAGCCGGGCTCGTCACATTGATATGGGTGCAATTGGCCTCGTCAAAATTGTTGTCGCAATCTGAAAAAGGTTATATTTGGTGATTTTCCTTGCCTATACGTTAAACTGAAACTGTAAGTCGTTATATACCTGTCCGCCCATCACACAGCCATTCATGCATTATACACCTCGTCACGCCCAAATACACGCAGTCCGGCTGATCGCCAAGGCATCCCTGTCCGGCTTCTAAATGTGGCAATGCAAAATGAAGGATGTCAAAGGTATTCAAATCCCTCTATCCTACTTCTCCCCAAAAAGCAAAAAGGAGTAGGGGGCACACGGAGTTGAACCATGGACCTATCGGACTGCAGCCGATTGCTCTACCACTGAGCTATACCCCCGGGTGGGAGCGGGCGCCGGGAAGGGGGTGTTCTGTCTTCGGCCCGCCACCCGGTTCGAGAGGACGCCTGTTTTGGGGGTCCTCTCGAGATCAAGGATGATGTATTGACGTACGCAAACGGAAAAGATGGTTTTGCTTACTAAAAACAGAATGGAAATCTTCAAAAATTAAGAAGAAATAATTGGAGGCGAAAGTAAAAATGACCCTACAAGCTGTAATTAATTTCAGGGGCTGGCAAAACAGGAATAGCGGGGCTTTTTGGTGCAGGTTGGATTCAATTTTTTCGATTCTTTCGCTACTCGACGCGCATCGAGTTGGTTACGCCGCGACGAAGAGATCGCAATGGATCACGAGCGTCGCGTATCGCGATCGCGGGCTCACGCCTTAGAAGCTTTATACCAAATAAAATCTATAACCATGCCTTGGCCGCCCCTTTAGAATCGCCTCTTACTCGAATGCTGATGACAAGCAACCGAATGCTCATCACTCCCATCATCGCAGTCATTCCGCCCATCACACATCCAAATTGTTGGTAAGCACTTTTCCGGTTGCCCAGTGCATTGGAACTCGTTGTCGTTGCACGAAGCTGACGATGTTGAATGGGGAAGATTAATTTAATCCTTACCTGCAAAATCCAAAAAGGCAAAAAGCAGAGTTAGGGTCAATATCGTGTATCTGCTCCTTGGTCCCATTTTGGGGTCATTATGCGTTGAAAGTCGAGTTTAAACGATTCCCGAGCGACTTGTCAAGATTCTAGCGGTTTTCAAGTTAATATCAGAGGAATAGTCGCGAGAATCTGCGAATTATGCAAGTTTTCGGCGCAAATTCGTACTGGCCTAGTCGCAAAAGGCTGGCTGTTTTCCAGCGCGACGATTTCTGTTGCCTGCCGCTGCCTAGGGATGGAAGACCATGACGACCATGGGTGGGCTCGTCGTATATTCTGGGGTTCTTGGATTCTGGAATAGGAGATGAATAAATATTTGGAAAATTCGTCGGCTCAAGCAAGCGAAAAAAGGACAAAGGATAACGGCAAAAATGGCAAAACGAAAGTGAAGAAGGAAAAACGTAAAGTTGCTACGTTAAAAATTTCTACAAAAGAATTTTGCCAGAATTCACGGCAAATGACTAATTTGTGCACATGTAGCTATGTAGCTGCAATTTCAAAAAACTTTGAAAAATATCGAAAATTTGGTAATACATTTTGCTAAATATATAAAAAAGTAGTGTCTGTGTGTGTGTGTGTGCCACTTTGCATGCAACTTCCGTCACCATGTCCGGAGAATATTTCGATAGGAGAAGGCTTTTAAGGTATATATGATACGTCATTAGGTGCGTAATGGCTCTGGGATGACTGCACGCTTCTCAGATTTTACAAAATTAATTGTTTTCAACATAAAATCTCAGTTTTTGTAAAAATTTCGGGCACCCTCTTTGTTAGTAAACAATTAGCATGCACCGGAAGTGGGGGTAGCCTATATATTCAGGTAGCGAGTGCCATTTTCCATTTTTCTTATCGGGATTCGAGAGAAGTATGCAGAGTGATGAATATTGCGGGTTAGACGGGGCCAGGGTTGAAAAGTGGCGAAGCGGCCTTTAAACCCTGGTATTTTGCTAAATTTAGATATTTTACTCATTAATTAGTTATTTTGTACCTCTGTTTCTCCCTAAATTTCCCAATCCAAGATTTCATACCCATCCCCATCAGCCGCTCAATCCCCAACGTGTTTTGTAACCGGATACCCTGCAACAATAGAAGGGCAAATTCTTCCTAGCCGCTTGCTCTCCAAAATCCCAGAACCATGCCAAGCCAGGTAGGCGGCCCGCATCTGCTGACAGACCATTTCGCCCGCTCGTCTACACTACTGATGCCACTTTTTCGCGTGCAGAAGTGGATGCTTCGGGCCGGGGCGAGGCCCTAGTGCTCGCCCTCCGGCCAGCTGTTTGGGGTCAGGGCCCCCCCCCCCTCGGACCGGCCGATTAGATTTCAGTTGTCCCCGGCTTCTAGACAGGCCATTCTTGGGAGATACGTCCAACTTGAGCGTTGGGCTGATCTGCAATACTAGCGC